CGAGAAACCCACACAAGACATATTATAACCAAATTTCCAAAAGCCAAATACAGTGAGAGAATCTTAAAAGTCACAAGTGAGAAGCAACTAGTCACATATGAGGAATCTTCAATGAGATTATTAGATTTCTTATCAGAAACTCTGGAGGCCAAAAGGCAGTGGGCCAACAAATTCAAATTTCTAAAAGAATAAAATTGTCAACCAAAAATACTATATCTGGCAAATCACCCATCAAAAGTGAGATATAAAATAAGACATTCCCAAATAAACAAAAGCTGAAGAAGTTCACTAACATCAGGCATATTCTGCAAGAAATTCTCAAGGGAGTTCTGCAGGTTGCAACGAAAGGACACTTGAGAAGAATTACAAAACATACAAAGACAAACCTCAGTAAAGGTAAACACATGGGCAACCATAAAAGCTGGGATTGTGTAACACTCTATAATCAGTTTTTGTTTTCTACATGACTTAAGAAACTAATACTTTTCAAAATTATGTCTAAAAGTGAGTACTGGAAATTTAGTCTGTAACCCTACATTTTGTTTTCTACATAACTTAAGAGACTAACGTATTCAAAAGAATTATTAGTTTATGTTTTAGAGCACACAATGTAAAAAGATGTAATTATATATCAACAACTGAAAGGTGTGAGGATCAGGCTGTAAAGGAGCAGAACTTGTGTATGTCATTCAAGTTAAGCTGGTAAAATTAGTGTCATAGCTTTTGGATGTTAAATGTAATCCCCATGGTAACCACAAAGAAAATATCTATAGATAGATACAAAAGGAATTGAGAAAGGAATTTAAATATTTCACTACCAAAATATTAACTAAAAGCAAGACAGGACTAATACAGAAATAAAGGTCAAGAAATCTATAATTATATAGAAAACAAATAGCAGAATGACAAATAATTCTTTCTAATCAGTAATTACTATGGATGAAATAAGATTAAACTTGACTATCAAACGACAAAGATGGACACAATGATTAAAAAAATACATGATTCAACTATAATGCTGCCTATAAGAAGACTCACTTTAAATTAAAAGCACAACAGGCTGTTATATAAAGAATTTCTAAAACTCAACCACCAAAAAAACTAAACAACTCAATTTAAAAATGCAGAAAGGATTTCTAAACATTTCTCCAAAGATGATTTCAAATTACCAAATGACTGTAAGTATATGAAATGATGATGAACATTACTAATCATTAGGGAAATGAAAATTTTACTATATTCATTGGTTTGACAAAAATGTTCAAAGATATCATATGTGTGTTAGTCCAGAAACCTTGACTCTCACGAGTGTTTGACTCCAAGTACCCAAGGGCACTATAATGGGTGTCTCCATAGACCCCTCAAGCCATGGATGGCCCATGCTCTCTTTGTTATTAGATACAGAGTCATTCATGTCTTTAGTCAGACTGAAGAAACAGGAATCAAGGGGGTGGAAAATGGGAGTGGCACCACTCAAGTGTTACTCTTAGTGACTCACTAGCAAAATTGGTGCTTCCTGTCATCACAACTATATACTCTGCTGGCCTAGAGGTCTTAGTTCCAAAGGGATGAATGTTTCCGCTAGAAGACACAGAACTGGAAGTTAAGACTGTTGTTGAGCTCCTCTGGGTTCCTTACACCTTTAAATCAAGAAGCAGAGAAGGGAATTATGCTGTTGGCTGGTATGACTGATACTCACTATGGGGGAAACTGGTCAACTGTACTGTGATGGAAATAATGCAGAGTAGTCTGAATATATGGGACCCCCCAGGGTGTCTCTTAGTATCACCATGCCCGATCATAAACTCAATGGAAAATAACAAGAACCCAATTCATGCAGGACTATTAATGGCCAAACCCAGAATGAAGATGTGGGTCACCTTACCAGGTAAAGAACACAATCAGCTGAAGTTCTTGCTGAGGAAAATATAGAATGAGTAGTGGATAAAGGCAACTGTAACACCACCTACAACCTGACCATTTACAGAACCAAGAACTATACTTGCCACGAGTACTTACCCCTTATTTTATTATGAATATGTTTTTGTGTATGTCTGTGCAGGCATGCAGGCACAAAAAGCAAATACTTTTGTTTTCTCCCCCCTCTTATTGCCTTATATGATGTAAAATGTATATCATGGTATTTAAGTATTTTTAACTTTACATCATAGTATTTTAGTTATGGGTTATCAAGAAGAGCAAACATTACCCACGGACTTTGCATCCTTCTCTAGGAAAAAGGTTAGTGGTTTCAGTTGTATAAAAAATAGCTAATCACGCTAGATAGAAATATGACCTTATTATTGTTTCTTTGGTGATAAGTGTGGTTTAAGGAGTGCCAAGCTGAAAAGGGGTAGACTGTGATACTTAACTTTGTGTATCAACTTTTCGTCAAACATTATTCCAAATGTTACTGCTATTTTTGAGATGACATTAACATTTAATTCAGTAGACTTTGAGTAAAGTAGATTACCCTTCATAATGGAAGGGGAGAAGGGGAGGGAGCAAAGGTTACCCTCCAGTCAGTTGCAGGTCTGAACAGAAGTGAAGACTGGCCTCCCATGAAGTAGGGGGAACTCCCAGCAGAGTACCTACCCTAGGACTCAAAGTGCAATGCCAGCTCTTCCTTTGGTCTTTAGCCTGCTCTGGGGAGTCTGGACCCATGAAATCTCTACAACCACATGAGCCAACTCCTTAAAGCCTCTCTCTGTACACATATTCACACACACACACAATCCTTACACACATTCACACACACACACACACACAATCCTTACACATATTCATACACACACAATCCTTACACATACATATTCACACACACACACAATCCTTACACACATTCACACACACACACACAATCCTTACACATATTCACACACACACACAATTTTGTTCTGTTTCACTACAGAACTCTGACTAATATAGCTGGTCACACTTTAAAATAAGGTAGGACTCTTTTCTACAAGGCTGATGGGTACCACAGTTTTAAAATATTGAAATACTGTTTCACCAATGACCCATACTACTGTAGGGACAGTCCTCTGCACAGGAGAAGGGCATCAGGGCTCAGTTCCAGTGCTTATAGTTTATGTCCACTGACTGGTTGTCACACTAGGGGTTCTAAACTATCAACATTGCTCCTTTTACACTATACATATATAACAAGTAACTTACTCATATATAACAAAGTTCATATATAACCAATACAAGTAACTTGTTCATATATAAACAAAGTTCATATATAACCATTACAAGTAACTTGAATGTTAAAGTCAAAACTATGAAACCTTTAGGGAAAAAAATTTGGACATTATCTTCATAACTTCAGAGTAGGGAAGATATGTGAAATATGATAGGGAAACCACAAGTTGGAAGATTTATACAAATATACAATTACATAAAATAAAGAATAGAATAATTTGCATATTAAAAGCAGAATAAAGTTAAAAAAAAAACAGGCCACAGTGTGAGAGAAAGTATTTTCAGTTCACACACAAAAACAACAAAGGACTAGATGCAACATGAAAAGACTAACATCCAAAATATGTAAAGCATTTCCATGACTGAATAAGAAAAATATAAGCAAATCTATAAAACAGAACAAGCAAAAGGCTGATCTAGAGTTTAAAAAACTAGGACTCTCAAATGTCCAAAAACATTTGAAAAGATGAGCAACTGGATCAGAAATTAGGAGACTGCTAATTAAAATGCAGCAAGAGAGAACTACATCCAAATCAGATTGGTAAAAATTAACAAGCATCAAACAACCAAGAATGTGGGAAGAATGTGGGACAACTACTGTTTACTGTTTATGGAAGTATACATTTGTAAACCACTTTAAAAAGTAGTTTGGCATTTGTACATCAGCTTTCATGTAAAATAAAGTTCACTGAGATGCTGTTTAAACTTAAAGCCAAAAACTGACAATGACCCAAATTTCAGACAAATGAAAGAATTGGTAAATTACCTGTGACATATGCACACTATGACTTAATACACAGCTCTGAACAAACTGAACAAACTATATCTATATACATCCACAAGAATAAATTTCACAATGTTAAATGAAAGAAGTAAGAAAGAATACATTCAGTAAGGAAGCCCACCCTGGTTTGATGGGTGGGCTACCCACCCAACCCCAGTGACCCCTGACCCTTCTTACCCTGCTCTACTCTTTTTACAATAGCTGTTATGTTCCTGGACATCTTCTATGCTGTTTAAGAATGGGCCTTTGATTTTGGTTGCTGTTGTTCACTAGCACAGCCAAAGCACCTAAAACAGTGCCTCATACATAGTACTTGCTCAGTAAATATTTGCTGAGCAAATTAGAATAATTCCAATTATATAAAAGCTTAAGAACAAGTAAAGCTAAATACCATATTGATTAGGAATGCATACAGACAGTAAAACTATTTAAAAGATATAAGATAATAAATACTACAAAAGTAATGGTATAAGTAACCTCTGGGGTAGGGAAGGCAAATGCAATAATAAGAGGGACACAAGAAATTTCTCTCTTAACCTGGACTTTAAAATGTACATAAATATGTATACACTATACATGTATAAATGTATGTGTTTTATATACATGGCTACACATAATATGCTTCACAATAAGAAAAACACTGAAAACAAATTCCATTAGCACTTCTCTCCCTAATAATACTCTACCTTCATCCTGACTCTGATTAATCCATCACCACTATGACCCAACACAGGAGTCAGGTAACAACTAAAGCAGTTCATGCTGCAGAACAGTCTAGGAATCTGATAGAAATTCTGAAATTTATACTGATTGGATTATACTGTTTCTTGAAATATTACTTGAAATAGCAGTCATCACATGTCAAATACGGGTCAATAGAAAAGAACAGAAATTTTCACATCAACCAACAAGACATCAATAGGAAAAGCTACTTCCAGGTGTCACCTATGAGATATACAGATAAGACATAAATACGCCTCACTTTAGTATGTAGAAAGTATCTCAAATATACCTGTATGCTGCCAAACTCAACATTCTCATAATGGAAATGTGCACATTCAGCCATCTTCGGAAAGTGACCTTTAGTGAAGGGTAACCTGAAGTACAAGAAATACGTAAAGAATAAAAATTTTAAAAAAAGAAATACATGAGATACAAGATCCTGGAACAGTCAAAATTACTAACTCTGAGGAGGAAATAAAACAGGTTTAAGAGCTCATGCAACAAGCAAAACGATTTAATAAGCACATGCGCATGAGCACATATATCCACTCAAACCTTTTCAGAAACACAGAGCATCAAATGGAAATTACATTCAGTGCACAGGTCAAAACCAAAACAAAATAATAAAATAAAAAGCATTGCTACAGTATTCTCCTGATCTTGACCCATGTCAATGGCCCTAGAAAAACTATGCTTTTAATAAATGTCATGGAGACTGTGAACAGCCTGCTCTAAGCAGAAGCAGCATTCCCACCACAAAACACAAAACCAGCGTTTACCTGTGAATGTTGTCACAGCCCATCAGTCCTGGATTGGTGGGTCTGGATGCAGAATGAAAATTTTATCCTTGTCTTTCCTCCACTTTAGGATAAAAACATAGCTATCTAACCCTTTACCAGGTGAAAAGATGCTTTTTCTATCTAAAACTGAAATGGATACCCTCAGATACTTCACTTCAGAGTCAAACACTGGCATCCACGTCAGGCTTTCTCAAATGCAGAGCTGAGAAACAGCGATATCCTAACTCAAAATACCAAAACTGACTTTTCGAAATGACTGAGAGCATGTATTAAAGGTACCAAAAAAGATATACTTGGATTGTTACTATTGAACAAATGCAACCTAACAGAAAATGACATGAAAGTTATTCCAAGAACAAAATTAAAGTATATTTTTAGACATGTAATCTTCAGACCTGTTCTGCTAACAGTTGAGTCACAACAGCATTATCCAACGTATGGACAGTAAGAGCTCATTTAGTAAGAAATCTGGATAAAAGTTTTAGGAGAACTAAAGAACTGATTTTCATTTATTGGAACTCACTTAAAACTCACTGTAATATTATACTTACTTTTTCACATGTTTAACCTTCATACTGGCTGTACTGCCACATGTCTTAAGACTAAGGTCTCCAGGAATTTCTGGAACATCTGCTCCTCTGGCCTTAAAAAAACAAAGACAAAAGATTTATGACCTTCCCTTTATTATGAATACATTTTAAAAAGCAGATTATAGCTCATTTTAATGGTCCTGCTAACTCCATACCAAAAGAAATACATACTTATTTAATAATCTCTTAAAATTAAAACTTACTTGACTTTTAATTGCTAAGAACAAGGAAAAATAGTCACCTAAAAATACTTAACCTTACTGTAAAAGGAAAAATTTTCTGTCAAACTAAGAATATTCATTCTCTTATAATCACATTTTGAAATCAATGATTGTATTATGTGCCTCAGCACAAACTAAATTCTCCCCCCAAAGCTGTTGGAACAAAATAACCCTGGTTATGATGATTAACAAAAATTTAAGTGATAATATGAACAATTAGGAGATCACAACATACATTTTTCACACTAATATTTGGAAGTTCCATCTATTAGGTAGTTAGAATAGGGAAAAGGAGTCCAAAATGGCGGTGGCTAAAAGACCTGGAAGGGAAAGCCCAGGAAAATAGAACAAAGGAAGGTCCGAGGACCGGAGTGAGAACCTCAGGTAAAACTAACAGCACTCCAGCCTAAGCCCAATTTGCAAAGGACAGGCCCAGGGGGAACAAAAAAAACACATAAAAAGAGGAGCCATAGCCCTCTTCGCGCTCTCTCTCTCCCCCACACGATGGGGCGCTCTTCTCTTCCCCTCTTTGGATGGAAGTGCCCTCACACCTCGAAGATGGATTTCCCTGCTATCATCTATATAAATAGAGCTGTAACACTGAGCTGTAACAGTGATTTATTTAAGAGCTGTAACACGGTCTGTCCTCCAAGAGCTATGACCCGCCAAGGGGCTTTAATGTCCACCACTCCAAATCTTTGTTGTGATGAGACAAAGAACCGGGGAGCATACACTCACCTGACACATCTATGTAGTACCTCCAAACTACCCTTAGTCTGCCAGTTTTCTTAGTGATTTTTTAATTTTAGTGATACATTCAGCTGCATCACTTTAACAACAGAAACTGGAAAATCAAAAGATTCTTCACACTCCAGAGAAAGCAAACAGCAAATCCAAATATCTATCTTAAAAAAACAAACTTATGCTATACAAACTATGACGTGTAACAAGAACAAAAAAAAACTGCTATAGCCAGTGTCAAATAATGCAGTAGGGGAGAATAATGTGGATTGAGCATTTAAAATGAGTTAAGAGGAGATTCCCAAAGAAGATAAATACACACAACAGACTACTACTTAACCTTTAAAAAGAACAAAATCTTGCCATTTGCAACAACATAGATGGACCTTGAGGGCATTATGCTAAGTCAAGTCAAGTCAGAAAAAGATAAAATACTGTATGGGCTCATCTACATGTGGAATCTAAAATCAAATCAATACAAAACAAAACCAAGCTCATAGATACAGAGAATAGACTGGTGGCTGCCAGAGGTGGGAATGGGGAGAGAGTAGGTGAAAAAGGTGAAGAAGTAAAAAGACACAAACTTCCAGCAATAAAACAAATTTGTCATGGGAACTTAATGTACAGCACAGTAACTATAATTAATAAGACTGTCTTGGACATCTGAAAATTGCTAAGAGAGTAGATCTTAAAAGTACTCATCACAAGGAAAAAAAAAGAAAAAAAGATTTGTTAACTATGTATGGTTACAGATGTGAATCAGACTTATTGTTGTGATCTTTCAGTGTATACAAATATCAAATCATACTATTGTGCACCTGAAACTAATATAGTGTTATACTTCAATTTTATATCTCAATAAAATAAAAAAGGGAGGAGATTCATAACATCATCTCAACTTTTTTAAATGTTTCTTATTAAAAAAAAAAAAAAACTAGCCAAGACAGATTAAATGTTAAAATCCATGACTTTTGAAAAATATGAGGTAACAATGTATGAACTTACAAGAATTAACACTGGATATATAAACACCATCAGGAACAACTGGACCCATTTTGTCTGAGGTTTTTGTCCTTAGTATGGATAAACTTGCTATAGTTAACAACAGTTAAACTTCCTTAGTTTATTTATAAGGGTTGATGTTTCATCATCAATTGTTCAGAGTCTTCTTATTCTGTCCTACAGGTCTTCCAAAGGGAAAAAATGTTATTATACGCTTTAGTAATGAAATAGAACTCATTCCATCTTGCAATTACATTATGGATTTATTGAACCTTTTCATAAATCTAATATAGGATCTCAGTATTATTTTTCCTCTATCTTGAGACAGAGTTCCTTCAAACTCCTAGGTATTACTTCATCAGTGCCTCTCATCATTCTTAATCCTACCACACTAGAAAAGTCTAAAATTTTAAAAATACAGCTTTAAAAAAAAAATGAAAATAAAAGAAACACCGACCGAGAAAAGGAGTTGGCACACTTTCTCTTAAAGGGTCAGATGGTAAATATTTTAAGTTTATGGACCACACTGTCTTTCCCATAGCTCAACTATTTTACAACACAGAAGCAGCCATGTGTAAATGACTTAATATAGATTCGTGCTAAAAAAAAATTTACTTGCAAAAACAGGCAGCCACTAAGTGGAATTTGTCAACCACTGACCTACGATGTTGACACAGTAGTGAAATAAATCATTATCTAGTTTTTATGTTATGTTGCCCAGATTGTTGCATCATCTTTAAAGAAGGTACTTTATGTGGTATACCTGAAATTCATATAACATTTTAAATCAATTATACCTCAGTAGAAAAAAAAAAATACTTTAAAAGCTTGCTGATTTTGGCATTTTGTTTTCATTGAATATATGTAAGAATTCCCTATTTTCCACTTTTCATCCATAACAGAAAAGAGAAAACTGACAAAGGTTTTTTACTATGATTAGACGCATCAAATGTTGGATGCAAACAAACAGCATGCAGCACGTGAGATTCTAGTAACTCGGGTGAAATTGCCCACATATATTAATATGACATCTCAGACTGATGATTATATCCATCTGTTAAAAAAAGTATGAGTAACTAATAAATTTTTAAGGACAAAAGAAAATATGGTACTTTAGTCAGTCATTCAACTGAAAGGACTTCACTGTATCAAATTTTGCGACAACCTGGACATTCTTTCAACTTCTATGATATCTGTGCATCAAAATTCACTTGACATTAAGAGTTATGTCACTGCTATGCTTAAATTCACATTAAAATTTCTAACATAATGGACTTACAACATTTGTCCTGTAAATTATTCATAAATTGACTCAAAATTTAAATATAAAGGAGTTTTCAAAAAAAAGAATGCACTGGCCCAGGTCAGTAAATGGTGATGACTTTATTTGGCAGAGTGAAAACTAAAACATTAACTGTCTTTTGCAAACAGGCTTTCTGTGCTAGATAAGCCATCGTCCCTAACACACATCCAAGGAGAAAATAAGGAAGCCTGCCAGGTGTATGATCCACAGAGGGAGACATACGAGGGACCACACACCTCTGCAACCACAACTGCTAGACAGCAGGCAGAAACATGACCCAGAGGGAAAGTCACAGGCTTTCTAAATGGGCCTGACAGGAGACTCTGCCTAAAAGGACAAAACAGTAATAATTAGGCAGAAGAACCAATGGTTCAAGAAGCATGAGCGGATTTAAGAAACTATTTTTGAACCAACAGTTCAACATGCTGATTCAATCACTGAATCAACAGTTCAAACATACCTATAACCACGTATGTTTTGTCCAGCAATATTTTCCCATAGTCCAGAAATGTACCAGGCATAAAAAGTGGTATCATTAACTCTTTTAAGAATCAGTAAACAAAATTAAAAGGAAAATATAGCACTACTCCTCAATTGTCTGATAAACTAACATTTTCACCTACATATTATTTTTTGATATAAAAGATTTTCTTATATTTCTATTGAAAGTACCTAGATTGAACCATTTTATTCTGTCACTCTCAATCAAAAGTTAAGAAATTTCTCCTTTAGGAAATACTCATTAAGTAACATTCATTCTTGGAAAATACAATTTTCCCAGTTTATCCATGTTATAATCATCACTTATTTATGCTTCCAAAACAGAATTTATGTCAATGTCACACAAATAGTGCCATTCATTAACAGAAAATTAAAGAGACAACAGAGGCTATGGAACATACCACTTAATGAACATACCATTTTCAGAAAAGCACCCACCATTTACAATTAAATTCCCTATGCATCTATCTCTAGCAATAAACTGACTTCCTATAAGGTTGGAGAGGACTTCCCTGGTGGCTCAGAGGTTTAAGCGTCTGCCTCCAATGCAGGAGACCCGGATTCGATCCCTGGGTCAGGAAGATCCCTGGAGAAGGAAATGGTAACCCACTCCAGTATTCTTGCCTGGAGAATCCCATGGACAGAGGAGCCTGGTAGGCTACAGTCCATGGGGTCGCAAAGAGTCGGGTACAACTGAGCGACTTCACACACACAAATTAAATATAAGTCATAAAAGAAATCCTCACTGGTTAAAAAGAAAATACAACCTGGGGAAAAAAACAAAAAAAATGCCATCTGTAATAAGGAAAGTATTTGTTTCTCCACAGTCTGAACCAGTTAAACCACACAGATTAAAGTGCATCCATTTCAGGAAAACATAATTTGATACTGAAAACTTGAAAAAATAAGAATTGGCAATGTTTTATCCTGTCTATGTTCCCTAACCCAGAACACACACGAACAAACACCCACCCACATACAATCACACACATACAAAGAGGAGTATTACTCATCCATAAATTTAAGAATGAAATCCTGCCATTTCAACAACATGAAGGAACTTTGCCCTCAAAGTGCTAAGTGAAATAAGTCAAAGACAACTGCTCTCTTATATGTGGAATCAAAAAAACAAAACAAATGAACACAACAAGGCAGAGGCAGATTCATAGAGAGCACATGCTGGCAGTCACCAGAGGAGAGGAGGGTGGCAGCATGCATGACACAAGTGAAGTGGATGAAGGGGTACCAACTTCCAGCTATAAAATTAAGTTAGTCATGAGGATGT